ACCTTCAGCGACAGATGGCATTCAGCAATACTGACACTTTCTTCTGTCCTATTGGCATTCATATTAGAGGGATTCCATTGTCATTACATACACAAGTTGGAACATACTCCTTGAATATAATGCAGTGTGTCAATGAACATATTGAAAGTGAAAGACTCACAGACTTCTCGTATGTGCATGAGCATCGAGACACACATGTAGTCAACAAGGGACGGCCCATCTGCAAACAGGGCGTCCCATACTTCCAGGACATTGGGTAGGGGGAATTCCCTTCCGAATAGTAATCGGATCCATCGACTGTGTGTGTGTGGAGTTGAGACAAGCATTAGTGGAAAGGGAAAAGTGTGAAGTAGAGGGACGCACATGCCGTAAGTCTGTGCTGGAATTGACAGCTGCTTCAAGTGATGGTAGAGGACTTCGTCTGCTTTCTTCAGTAGAATGTTATGAACCACGTCCAATTTACGACTAATGGCTGACGACTACATGAGAGGGGAGGAGGAGGAAGAGAGAGAGAGAGAAAGGTAAGGGATATAGGGGCTGGTCTCTATTCCGTACTGGTCCATAAAACTCCGAGTTGTCCTCAAAAGGTCGCGAGGTTCGCGGATCTCGGCTCATGTTCTTCCTCTGAGCCAATGAAGCCTGCTGGCGAGCCTTTACCTGATCTGCCTCCAGACCAGTGCAGCTGTACCACGGCTCCACCATCTCCATCAGCTCCGTGAATATGGCACTGTGGACCAGAGAGAACTGCTACGACCACATGTTGAAGCAATTCACTCACTAAGTGTCGTGTTCAATGAAGGAAGGATCCATGACGACCTTTAGTACCGGACTGCAGTAGAAACAATAATTATTACTTTTGCACCACAAACAAAAGCCTAGCCTAATCTCATCTGACCCCAGCTTTTCTTAGCCCCCCCTGTAGTAAGATCTACTGATTAGTTACACGTCCCTCGACTTACGTGAGGGACTCGTCCCTCTCGACGTCTCTCATCTCTGCGTTCATCACAAACAGGATCGGGGCTAGCAGTTCATGCATCCCTTGTCTGTACCCCAGATCAGGGTTCTCCTTCACATAGCAGAACAGAATATCCTCCATCATCTGTCTGGATTAATGATGATGTCATTGGCAATGATGTAATGATGATGTAGTAGGACTCACTGAACGTCGTCTTGTCTGAAGAACTGGTTGTCAGGGAACGTGCGGACGACATCCTGACTGACCAATTGCCGTAGGTCATTGTCCTGGAAAAACCTGTTCCACGGACTCTGTGTGTCATGTGACGATCACATGATGAATCATGTGATCAAAGCCAGAAGTCATGTGACCTACCTCCTCACTCTGAGACAGAGGGTTGTTGAGAGCAACATCCAGACTTGCCGTCACTTGATGTGGATCCATCACATGCTGAAAATTATGATGTAATGATGACATCATTGATACAGGGATTGTGCAGTGTATACCTTTCTCTTGACGTCGTCATATTTTTCTCTGGAGGAAGTTGTCACAGTCTCCCATAATAATTGATCTTCGGGCAGCACATTGAGGAATAACTGAGGCAGGAGACGGAGAGAAAGAAGGTAGGGGGAAACATAAACATAGTAGGACGTACAGAAACTGCTGAATAGCAAAACTGCTGAACAATCAACAGCCTATTATAGAGCCTTACCCTCCATACAACAGATCTGAGGTTGTACCGCTGGAGTTGCCCCGACAACGCCAGACTCTTGAGCACCTTGAGGTAGCCTGGCTGAAACAGTAGCTTGCTCCCCTCACACCTCCAGACAGACAGACAGACAGACAGACAGACAGACAGACAGGCAGGCAGACAGGCAGACGAGGAACGTGCAAGTAAAGATGTGACCTAAATCACTATATGTATGTCTGCGCCTGCAAGTTGTCCACCAGGTATAATATATCATTACAGGCTAGGGTATGTGGTCTATACAGTTCAAAGAGTGGAGGTGTATGTGAACAGAGGTCTCTGGTGAACTGTGAACAGCAGTGAGTCAATAGGAGGAATGACTGCACTGTACATAGACATATACCAGTAGGTGTGTGGATGTACACGGCTCACCAGCGATCTCTACCCCCGGGCTCTGCTACCTGGGCCTCCTCCGCCTCCTCCTCCACCCCTCTCTCCACAACCTCCCCCACTCCCGTCCTCCCCTCGCTCACCGACATCGGTACAGCGCACTTGCAAGTCTTCACAGCGCGGAGGATCCCCGTGCGGTAACAGCGGGGAGAAATTCGCAGCAAATTCAGCAACACGCGCAGTCGGAGAGCGACACTAACTGCGCTGTAAACACTGCAACAGAGCCAGAAAGAGGCTGGACGCTACTACCCCTTCGTTTTCCCCTCTTTCCCAGCGAATGGGGGCGTGGTCACGCTGCAGCTGTCGGATCACGTGATTCACACGTGGTGCGCGTGCGCATAAATTCTCGGCTCGCTAGCTCTCTGCAAGCCGGTAGTTAGAGTTAGAGCGGAGCCAGCTAGCTGGGGACCATGTCAGAAAAGGAGGAAGACAGGGAGAGGTCGGCCCAAGCTGCAGTTGGGGCAAAAAAGCTGAAATTGGTGGAGGATTCCAAGCAGCGGAACCTTGACGTCATCGCCGGTGCACAGTCGCTGCTCAGTATTATCATCCTCGGACTGGCGTGTGTCGTGGCCTTCGCCAGCCGCCTATTTGCCGTCATCCGGTTCGAGTCCATCATCCACGAGTTTGATCCCTGGTAAAAACCTGTTTGCTCACGTGACCACACGTGATACGTCTTACCCCACTCTCCTACTCATCCCAGGTTCAACTATAGAGCCACACACTACATGGCGATGAACGGGTTCTACAACTTCCTAAACTGGTTTGACGAGCGAGCGTGGTATCCGCTGGGGAGGATAGTGGGAGGGACGGTGTACCCTGGCCTCATGGTTACCTCGGGAACCATTCACTGGATCCTCAACTCTCTCAACTTCCCCATACACATCCGAGACATCTGTGTCTTCCTCGCTCCCATGTTTAGGTACTACCTATTACCTCCGTAGTCTACAATAGCGGGATTGAGGAAGATGTGTTTGCAAACACAAATTTTGCGGAGAATGTGGACTGCTAGTCCTGCCAAACAAAACATTTACTACCTGCAAATTTTATCAGTGGAACACTGATTAAACCGTGAAATTTTTGAAGGTTTTCTACCTTCCTTGTTCCCTCCCCCTCTTGTTACGTACGTATATCCCTGATATATGTTAATCTGTAAAAATACTCTCTACTTCCAGTGGACTGACAGCCATAGCGTGCTTCTTGCTGACTCGAGAAGTGTGGAACACGAGGGCCGGTCTCCTAGCAGCCTGTTTCATCGCCATCGTCCCCGGCTACATCTCCCGCTCCGTCGCCGGGTCCTACGACAACGAGGGAATCGCGATATTTGCGCTCCTCTTCACGTATTTCCTCTGGATACGATCAGTCAAGACTGGCTCCGTGATGTGGGCCACGGGAGCTGCGATCTCGTACTTCTACATGGTGTCGGCTTGGGGCGGATATGTCTTCATCATCAACCTCGTCCCACTACATGTGTTTGCTCTACTGCTAATGGGTCGATTCTCTAACAGGTTTGGCTGCCCCGTTGTGTGATGCTTGTCCCGATAATGTCCCGTTGCAGGATCTTTGTAGCGTACACTACATTCTATCTGCTGGGGCTACTTCTCTCTATGCAAGTCCCGTTTGTGGGATTTCAACCAATCAGAACCAGTGAACACATGGCTGCAGCAGGTTCGGCCTTTTGTGTTTCACTTTGGTTTCATTTTCAATCACTTCAGGGGCAGTTTACTTAGTCTTGACTTCGCTATTGTGGGGAAAATTTGCTACTTTCACAATCACACATGTTCACAGTCACAACTTTCTTTATCTCTCCCCCATCTCACGCCTCCTCTCTTCCAGGAGTGTTCCTCCTCCTGAATGCGTTGGCTCTCCTGCGCTACCTCCAGAGCAGTCTCACTGGACGCCAGTTCAAGACAGTGTTCCTGGCGGGTGTGGTCCTCAGTGCCGGGGCCGTGTTTACTGGCGTCGTCCTCCTCACATACCTTGGATACATCGCTCCTTGGAGTGGCCGATTTTACTCCCTCTACGACACCGGGTGAGCATATCACCTCAACTGAACCTTATCCATGGTTTCTTGAAATACTCGGGCCCCGTTTTTTTAAAGTCCTACTTCGCAAATTCACCTGATCTTTTTGCCAGTGAAGTGAACACAGCTAGTCATCTGAATTTCTCGATTTGTGTGTAGACGGCACGTAATAAAGTGCTCTCACATTAGCTCACTAGTACTGCCATTCTGTTACTTTCAGCTGCGGGAAATATGGTGCCTCTGGTGCGAAAAGTCTGCGCATAATATCTCTTCACCCTCCCTCCCTCTCCTCTCTCTAGTTATGCCAAGATCCACATCCCCATCATTGCCAGTGTGTCAGAGCATCAGCCGACCACCTGGACCTCTTTCTTCTTCGACCTCCACATCCTCGTCTGCGTCTTCCCCGCTGGCATCTGGTTCGTCATGAAATACCTCACCGACGAGAGGGTCTTTGGTAATTACCCCCCGGGAGTCATGTGACTGTCACATGATGTCATGTGATTCCTCTCCAGTGGTGCTGTATGCGGTGTCTGCGGTGTATTTTGCTGGGGTCATGGTTCGCCTGATGCTGACTCTCACTCCCATAGTCTGTATACTTGCGTCTATTGCAATATCACATTCTCTGGACAACTACATGAAACCTGTCTTCTCCAACAAAGAAGGTAGCTACTATAATTATAGCTAGCACCAATTTTCTTCAGAACTTCTTTCATGAATGACATTTTTGAGCCTGTTCCCACTGTAATTTTTGGATACTGCAAAAAACTTTAATTGTTCCTGTTCTCTGGTGTCAGTAGAGGAGAGCAAGTCGAGCAAGAAGGAGGAGGAGAAGGAGGAGGGGGGAGGGGGTAAGACAGGGAGCAGTAAACCTGAGAAGAAGAGTAAAAAGAAGCCAGGAAAAGTCCTCTATGATAAGGTGTGAGTGGATTTTGCTATAATAGCTGTGAAGTAGCGGATAGTGAGAACTGGGTATCACTGTATGTGTAAGGTTTCAATTTCAAATTGATGTGGTTCCCATGTGTCCACCAGTATGCGCCGCAGAAGGCGAGAGAGACAAAGGCAGTGGACCCAGCTCTCCACAGCAGCGAGTTCACCAGCTCCACCTCCATCGGGTCTGTGGTGGTTCTCCTCCTGATGATGTTTCTTGTTCTCTTTGCCGTCCACTGCACCTGGGTCACCTCTAATGCCTACTCCTCTCCCTCCGTCGTTCTCGCCTCCACCAACCATGATGGGTGAGTAGAATATCAGCTACATTGAACCTTATGCCAATTCCATGAAAATGCTCTCTCCCTGTATTATGTAAGATCACGCAACATTCTGGATGATTTTCGCGAGGCGTATTTCTGGCTGCGACAAAACACTCCGGACCACGCCACCGTCATGTCGTGGTGGGACTATGGCTACCAGATTGCTGGTATGTTTCTACCTTAACCCCTAGCCAGGGGTTAAATTAGATTCCATGCTTTACGAGTTAACTTCAGTTTGTCCCTCCCTTCAGGGATGGGTAACAGAACCACTTTCGTGGACAATAACACCTGGAACAACAGCCACATAGCCTTGGTAGGGAAGGCCATGTCCAGCACTGAGGAGAAGGCAATTCATATCATGAGGACACTCGGAGTCGACTACGTTCTCGTCATCTTCGGAGGTATGATCGGTTACTCCGGAGACGACATCAACAAATTCCTCTGGATGGTCCGCATCGCCGAGGGAGAACACCCCCAGGATATCAAGGTGGGTGGAGCCTGTTGTCATGACAACAAACGAAGCCCCGCCCCTGCAGGAGAGTAATTACTTTACTCCACAAGGTGAGTTCAGGGTGGACTCTGCTGGCTCTCAGACACTGCTCAACTGCCTCATGTACAAACTGGCTTACTACCGGTTTGGCGAGGTTCAGATGTACAACGGACCCTCTGGTGACTCTGCCCACTTCTCTTGTGATGTCATTGTTTATCAACTATTTGTTGCTAGGTTACGACAGGACTCGGAATGTGGAAATTGGCAACAAGAACATAAAGCTGCGCTACTTGGAAGAGGCATACACGTCGGAGCACTGGTTGGTCAGGATTTACCGGTCAGTCCAGTTTGGTGGCCACGCCCCCTGTGACCACACCCACTAATCAGGGTGAAGGCAGACGAGAACAGGATAGAGAGTGGTAACCGTTTGAGAGCTGTGAAACACAAGAGGAAGTACTACCCGAGGAAGGTTAACCCTTTTCCCACTGTGGTGGATTATTTAACCCTTTTTTCACTGTCAAAACAGAGATCAGGGAAAAGGAGGGGCATTATTAGGAATAAGATTTCATCCACAAAGGGCAAGAAACCGGCCTCAAAATCAATCAAATCATCGAAAAAAACTTTGAGAAAAGGACAATGAGGTTTTCACCTTATTTAGGGGTAACAAATTACTTTTCGCTGTGTGGATCACGTTAATATACATCACTTTCAAAAACTCCCAGTTAATCTAGTAATTAAACCGCTGATAGCATTAATCAACCACCACAATGTCCAATAATTATGTGCCCCTAATAAATACATTAATCAACTAATGGTGCAATGTACACAAAACTGCATAGAAGTTCGTTCATAATGTTTAGGAAATGGTGTGTGAAGCTAGTTCGTCTTCTTGCTGGTGGTTTTGCTCCTCCGATCCTCGCTGCTCTTGAGGTAGTCCTTGTACTGTCTGTCGGTGCCTAGCAACCAGTCCCACCAGAGGAATGTGCTGGCGTAGTTTCCGTTGAAATTCATGTGATGGAAATCGTGGAACTTTGTGCCTGCGGTGAGGGGTGTGGGTGTGAGTGTGAATCGAGATTAAGGTACGGTATATACCATTATGGTGAGAAAATAATGGGAAGAAAGTTGGAAATGATCTTCAGTGTACAGAGATCACTTGCAATTTGCCGTCAAAAAAACATTCATGGATGACTAAAAAACCGAGCGAGGTGTCTGAGGCTATTTGAGAGCTTCATGCAGGAGAGAATGGGGGAGAAGGGATGAAGAGATAGCTGACCGGCATATCCAGGGAGGAGGTGGAGGGGGTTGAGGTAGGGAAAGTCATATCCACTGTGGACCTCTATTGTCTCTAGGAGTCGGACGGTCATCCACAGCCAGATCATGATGAGGTGGTTGCACATGAAGAAGACTCCAATGAAGAACCCTGTTCCCAGTACTGTGCAGGGAGAGGAAGGAGAGAGAGGGGGGGGCACAAGTAGGACTGAAAGAAGGGAGAGCTTTGCAGCCACAACATGTAGAGGGAAATGTCAAGGCCAAAAATTCAAGCTTCTGAAATCCAGTGGGCAGTGATTAACAATGCTACTGAAAAATTGATTATTTGTGTGTCCCTTCAAACTGCCTGTGAAATAGAGTGTTTGTGAGTATATTAGCTCACCGATTGTCTCTATGGGGTGAGCGTACTCGGCAACCATCCCAAACGGAGCCTGGAAATGGTGGTGGACTTTGTGGACGTATTTGTAAATGGAGCGATGGTGGAGGAGCTGGTGGACCCAGTAGTGCCAGGTGTCCTCAATGACCAGACAACACATCATCTGGAAACACAGCATGTACCTGAGGCAGGAGATGATATTCTTGACTGGAAGTGAAACCTCTGAATTAGGGACAACTTGGGAACATCAGAGGAGTATGTACTATAATTAGAGGTGGCCCTGCTCAGTATCCCGTCTACTATACGTTTCTTAGTGGATGATGTAATGATGATGTAATGGGTATAGGTCTCACCAGGCGGGCATCTTGTCGTATTCGTATGGAATTCCCATCATCTCCAGGTAATAGTATGTCATGGACATCAACGGCAGCTGTTAGTAATGAGGGAGGATGTTTTCATGGTGTAGCACAGAGAGTTTTTGGTCTTACTTGGATACAGAAATGGTTGAACATGAGTTTCTTGAAACATTTCCACTGCTGCCCAAACGTCTCTGGCTTGTCCTGCAAAATATATCCCATAGTTGACCTTTCTCCATTCCCTCTCCCATCATCATAATGTGAATAATATTGGTAAGAGTCTGTGTTTTACCTGTTGTACTTTGTATTTCTGCATGAACGGAAGAAACTGGGCGACGAAGCCAGGCGCGCAGAGCCCGAAGTACACGAGCTGGGAGACGTAAAGAGAGAAAGACTCAGTTACTATCATAGAAAGTTGTAATAATAAACCTTACCTCGTGCAGAACCACAGAGAACCAGACGGCTATGGTGAAGCGCGGGTAATTGTCAGTCATGTAGTTCCACGCAGACCCCAGGTAAGGCTCCACTGGATTCCGCAGAGTCGAGTTGGCCACTGTCTGCAGCAGCGCGTCCAGTCCCGTCGCCACCGACGCCATTCTATATAGTAGTTACTGCTACGATAAAGAGCGTTGTGCCGCTTCCGTGAGAATGGGAGAAGGCTTTTTACGGCCCGCCCGTGCTGCTGCAGCTCGGCTGAGGTGATCGGTAGAGAGGGAGAGACGTGCAGCACGAGCTCGCCAGCTATGAATGACTCAATTCGCATGATCTTCTGCTGGCATCGCACGATCGATCGCTCACCTCGCAAACTGCGCATGCGCACTGTACAAAACGGGCGTGGCTCTCAAATCTTGCAGAGAGACCCTAAAGAGGGCGTGATGGCGGACGGGGACAAGGTAAGTAAGCGCCAATAGAGCACTTTTACTTTTCGGTAATCCCCTGCAGTTACCTGGACAGAGTCCCACGAGCCCAGGCTCGGAATGGGGGTCCCTGGCAGCGATGGAGGCGGCCATGAGGGAAGAGATTAGAGAACTCCATGAGCAGAGAGCCGCAGCCATGATGACGGAGATCGTGGAGCTCCAGAAAGAGAGAGATCTAGCCGTCGCCAAAGTCAGGAGGCTGGAGAAGAAGGTAAAAGGTAAGTCTCGTTTGTGCTTGGCTAGAGTAATTTCTGTTGTAGCAACTTTAGGGACCAAATACCCAAATCCCCTGTTCCTCCAGATATGGAGGCTGAAGCAGACAAGAGAAGAGGTGGAGATGGCAGGGCAGAGCTTGTGGCGCTCCTGAGGCAGACGCTGCTGGAGGAACAGCTCATCTCTGCTGACCTGAAGAAGAAACTACAGACGGTGAAGAAACAGAACGTGGCTCTGACCCAGCAGTCTCGGAATGAGACCACCAAGCAGTCTCGGAATGAGACCCAGACACCCAAGAATGGAAACCAGGAACAGTCTCCCTCTGTAAGTGGATTTCACTCAGCAGTATGTTGGAGAGGTGTCCATGTTTTGCTCTCTCTACACACAGAGGTTCAGAAGGCACAGTTATGATGGGAAATCAGCCTCTCCCCATCTCCCTTCCTCCAAACCTCCAACTCCGTCGTCTCTCTCTCCCCACACCCCTGGTGGCGGAGGTCAGAGTCAACGATACAGCCCTTCTGTCGTCCCTCGGAGGTGAGAGATCACATGACAATCACATTACCTTGTAATTCAGTGATTGAGAGTACTATTGTTCCAGATACAAGTTGGCTGCTGTTACTAATTGTGATGCAAGCACTCAGACGGCCACAGAGACAATGGAAAAGACTGACCAATCAGATCACAGTTCTGCCGACACTCTAGCCACTCCCATTTTAGAAGCCTTGACGACAGCAAGAACTGACATTGTTCGATTGCAGCGAGAGAGAGACGAGGAGAAGAAGAAGGTGGCCAGTGAGCTCCAGAGAAGGGAGGAGCTTCGGAAAGAGGGCGAGGTGAGCTGGCATGTCACGTGACAGTCACGTGACTCCTGACCCCGCCCCTACAGTGTCTGCAGCTGGAGTGTGGTGTGCTGCGAGAGAGTCTAGCTGAATTTTCTCGCTGGGTGAGAGGCAAGTTGGAGGGAATGGAGGAGAACATGGACATCTTCAGAGTCATCTACTCTCTGCATCGATCCCTCTCACAGGTTAGTAATCTCCCAGTATACAGACCAGTAATCTCTCAGTACACAGTCAGTAATCTCTCGGTATACAGGCTAGTAATATCCCAGTACACAGTCAGTAATCTCTCGGTATACAGGCTAGTAATCTCTCAGTACACAGTCAGTAATCTCCCAGTACAAAGTCAGTAATCTCTCAGTACACAGTCAGTAATCTATCGGTATACAGGCTAGTAATCTCAGTACACAGTCAGTAATCTCTCGGTATACATGCTAGTAATCTCTCAGTACAAAGTCAGTAATCTCCCAGTACAAAGTCAGTAATCTCTCAGTACACAGTCAGTAATCTCTCTGTATACAGGCTAGTAATCTCTCAGTACACAGTTAGTAATCTCTCAGTACACAGTCAGTAATCTCTCGGTATACAGGCTAGTAATCTCTCAGTACACAGTAATCATAATCTTTGGTACAGGAGCAGTCAGTGCTGCAGGAGCTGCAGAAGAGACTGAGACAATCGGAACAGAAGGTCTTGGAGCTTGAACAGACAAACAGGTCAGCTAGAGAGCTGACCTAAACTTTCAGCAAATGGAAACATCCACCACAGTGATGTGTGTAGTGACGTTAATATGATTTCTTGTGTTTGGTATCCAGGCAACTGGCACTGACAGCCTCAGAGGCAGAGGAAAACTACAAGAGCAGCCTCTCGCAAATCAGGTGGGTGTTGGTTGCCATGGTGAGGGTTGCCATGACTGCATAACATTCTCCTCACCAGGGTTCTGCGGGAGAAGTTGTCTTGTTGTCCTCCCCACCCTCCCTCTCTCCTCACCCCTCCACCACCAAGCCACACCCACTCATCACTGATGAAGGGAAGAGTATTCTCGTCCCCACAGCTCCTCCCACGAAACTCCTCACCCCTCACCACCCACACACCCTCATCACACGCTAGCCACACCCAGCATGACATGATCGCCTGACATTTTATTTCACAAAAAAATTATAATATAATTCAATGTCAGAATAAAGCATGATTGAGCAGCGTGCAAAGAAAAAAGACGATGAACCACAACGGGGAAAAAAAGGAAACTAGTGGGTTAGCTATCTATTTAACTCTGACCATCGCTTCTCAAAAAAGTTTTTCATTGAATGACCTGCCATTCCAATCTGTGGGGATGACAATTATTGAAGATTCAAATGTAGTTCAGTTTCGGCAGAATTTGCAGCTTACTTTTGATTGGTCCTCGTTGTAGAAAAGACAGTTTGAAAACACGAGTCGCGAGTCACTGGCAAAAGCCTCGCGACAGGAATACCTGCAGACAGGCAGAGAGAGAGAGCGAGAGGTGATTGGGCTAATTGTTGACATAGTCCAGGTGTGAATCAATGAACACGTGGTGCCCGAAAGTAAAGTGTTTATCACACACAAGTAAACCTTTGCACGTACACTGTCAGTACACTGTCAGTACACTGTCAGTACACTGTCAGTACACTGAAGTGTGCACAAGGCTCCATTTGTACACACAAGTTAAGAAGCCTAGGATTTGTACGCACAAGTTGAGCCGAGGATCCCTAGAGCACTAACCTGCCATCTCTGAGTTTGCAGCGAATGGTCTGAAAGTCCATTGGTTTCTTGACCACTCTGAAGTACTCGGGGAGCTTTGCTCTGTCCACGGGCTCCAGGAACGGCCAGCTGTCTCTGTGGGCCTCCAGCTCCCCCAGGATCACATGACACACCTCCAGATCCTCCCTGACAGGTCACGTGACACTCATGTGATCGCAAGTTTCAGCTTTCTTATGAGTTATGGTATGAACAATTCTCACTTTCTCTTGCGAGAGGTGATGTGATTGGTAGAAGGCGAGGGGGTTGAGATGGGCGGAGTCTGCTGTTTCTGTGCCGACTTGCGTCGACAAGTGGCACACAGCCACACCCCCGACGGCTTTCTGTACCAATTAGAGAGAGAACCAATACCGATGACATCATCCCAACGAGTTTACTTTGACTATAGTTGGAATATAGCAATACTATCTCGCTGTACACCATGTATCCTGCCTCTACTTTACTGTGCTCCCGCCTATGAGTAGTATAGGGTACCTGGAGAGTGGGGGAGTGAGGCAGCGTTTGTGGTAGGCCTTGGGACAGCGAGAGCAGTGGAGGAGCTCTCCTCTAGATCTGTCACATATAGCACAGGATCTGTACCGAGATTTCTAATGAGAGGGGGAATAGAGCATCATTCTGTCAGTGTGGAAGAGACATATGTATCAAGGTTAGTGAGTGGAGGAGAAGGGACAGAGCAAGAGGGGGAGGGGCTTACGTTGGTGGAACAGAAACGACAGTACCAGTCTCCCTTTGGAATGGTTGTCAGTTTAGGCTGTGGAGGGAGAGAGACAAGATGAGGGGAGAGAGAGACAAGATGAGGGGAGAGAGAGACAAGATGAGCGGGGCTTACCTTGCAGCAGTAGGTGTGTGTTCCCTTGTCACAGCCGTCGCATAGCAACAGGAGGTTTTCATTCTCAGCACTGTGACACTCCTGGCAGTACTGCAGACACATTCAGCAGGGGTCAATAAACAAATCATTATTGTCTCTCTTCTGCACCATACTACAGTAATCTCTGACTAAGACACTCCTCTGAATGTCAATGTCCCCAAGGTAACGGTGTATTATCTCACCACTTTACTGGGACTGTTCTCCCAGGCCACGCAGCTGTTCAGTTGCCCCGCCAACACCGCCAGCTGGGAGGCCGATGTTACCATGGAGACGGCTCCCTGCCAGTTGATGAGGTAATCAGTCGGCTCTTCCTGGGTCTGGGTGGGCGGGGCCTCGGGCTCCTTTGACGGTCGGCCACGCCCACTAGATCTCGGGAGTGGTGGTGGAGATTTTGAGATGTACTTCCTATGAGGAAGAAAAGGTGAGAGTCACATGATAATAATTAGGGTATGAGCTGCTAATTGTGATAATGGTAGTATTGGTAGGTAGTGAGATTGACTTGTCTCTGAGCGGAGGTCGGAGGTAGCTCCTCCGCAGACTCTGCTCCACCAGCAACAGGAACTGCCCAATATACCGCAGCGGCTCCTCGTAACCTTTGACCTCCTCCACTGTCACCGCAGGGTGCTCCCACTGTGATGTCATTATTACATCATACCATGTGAAATCTCCGAAAAAGGACCCTCAAAATGAACATTAGTTATTGTATTACCTCTAAATAAGGGACACCTCTGAATAAAAGACAATTTTACTGTCCCAAGGTGTTCATTATTTAGAGGTTTCACTGTATTACATCAGATGACATCATGCTGGATCACATGACCCACCTCTTGCAGCAGCTGCGCCTCATGAAGTCTGTCTTTCATCCTCATGATGGAGCAGAAGAGAGAGAGAGCTGCAGAGAGTGTCATCTCCGGGTACGCTGGGTCGTACACCTCCAGATCTGCAATCTGATTGGCCAGCTGCACAGCTTCTGTTGTTACCTTTGCGACCATCTTGGTCACATGACAATCGGGAGGATTGTGATTGGTCGACGAAGAGCTGTCGTCAGAGGATTCTGAGCCGCTGTCCTCCGAACTCTGCGACTCGCTGTCTGTCTTTGAACTTTTCTCACTCCTCACCCTCTCCCCGTCCTCCCCCTTCCCACCCCTCACCAAACCTTCTATCATTCCCTGGAATGTAGTTCTGAACTCGTCAAATGGTCCGGTCTTCATTCCAGAGCACACAATCTCCTTCTGCTTGTTCAGATTCCTGTACAGACCTTTCTCCCTGTACCCCCTGCAGGAGTGATGTCATAGCTATGATGTAATGCTTACATCACTGGTATATACCTCAGGGAGAGTGACCTCATTAATCTGTCGACAACCTGAGGGTCAGTGATGGACCACCATCCTTGTGTCAGATCTGCAAGAGATTGAGAGAGAGGATTCAGGAGTTCACTTCGCCAAGTTAGAAATGTGCCTCCACACAACTATGTACAAACAGTCGACACACTAAGAAGAAAGGCCCTGGATATGTTCCTTATCTCTACCCATCTCTCTCTGAACTCTGACCTTGGTCCTGCTCCTGAAGCAGCTCCGCAAGCACAAGTCTTGCTCTCTCTCTCTTCTTCACCTCCGCAGGAGGGGGCGGGGCTGTCACCTGTTGCTCTGCAACCATGAGGGTGATGTCGATAATGAAAGGGTCGGCCTCGGCGATGTTGCACATCATGACAGCTGGCGGGCACTCCAGAGAGAGAGTCTGAGAGTCTGGTTATGGAGAGGAGAGGGAAAAATTACATCATTGAAAACAACGTACAGTCGCAGGTTCAAAACACAAATACAGTATTTCTCCAGAAATTGGACAAAAAACATAAAATATTTCCCCATCATGTTCTATTGAGGTAAACATGAAAAAAATGTCTGAGAATTTCTCTCTCTAAATTGGACATATTTCCCCTAACATTCAAGTAGGCAAGAATGGACTGGTATAAACTGACTGATGGTGCTGTTCTCCATGAGGACAATCTGGGAGCTCCCGTCTGGCTGTTGGAGAACTGCGTATGAATACTCCCCTGACAACACCCTCGGATCAGCTGGCAGACTGATGTACTGTGAGGTCCCGTCTGGGAATGGGGGAATGGGAACATGGGTGTGATTTATGAAAAGAATGTAGTATTGGAGAATGAGAACATGAGAAATAAGAATGGGAAAATGGGAACGTTGTACTGTGGAATGAGAATGTGGGAATGGGACCCACCTTGTCCAGGTAGGACTGCAGTAATGAACTCTTGTTTCTTCTCATCAGTATCACCAGAACCTCTCTCCTCCTGCGGCCTCAATGGACCACCAGAACCTCTCTCCTCCTCCTGACTCAATGGAACACTGGTGTCTGCATCAACAACAGAGGAACATCATGCATTTCCTAAATTTTAACATACGGTATGTTGAAATGTAAACCTGACCTTTACTAACAACTGGTGAGACTTCCATGGCAACAGTGTCCTGTGTCTGACTGGGAGTGACGTCACCAGGAGGAACTGTCAGTGCAGCGACATGATTGGTCACATCCTCAGCCCTGACTCCGCCCACTGATTTGGTCGTGGTGTTTGCAGCCTCATCTCCAGTCACAACCCCTCCTGCTCCACCAAGTACAACAGCCCCACCCCCTTCTCCCAGTGTCTGTACTGAAGCCCCACCCTCTCCGATAGCCACACCCCCTGTCTGAGGCAAGACTGCCATGCCCCCTAGTCCGAGGAGTCCGCTGGCCCCGCCCCCCACCAGGTACTGCACCCCTCCCTGGGACACTATGAACTGCTGCTGCGGAGTTGCTGCGGCCGTCAGGTACTGCTGAGGAACCAGTGTATTTCCCACCAGAGCATACCCCACCTGTAACTGCTGCGTCGGAGCCGCTGCCATGGCACCCGATGGTGTGATGTAATATTGCATCATCCCTGAGGGTGTGGCCTGTGCCAGAAGCTGTTGCCCACCCGTTGTCGTAGCAACCAGCTGGTACTGGGCTTCGGTGATTCCATTCTGGAGTGCTGCGGTTGCTACGGTGACGGCGGGTTTCGTTTCGCATGGTGAGCGAGGGGTTAAGCTGAACCACGGAGTGGAGATTTGTTCGGTTGTCATGGGAACAGCTGCAGAGTCTGAAGTGGATTGCTGATTGGTCTGTGGGTCAGGGGTCTTCTCTGTTTCCATAGCAACAGGATTAGTGGTAGTCGTGGCAACTGGAGGGCTCTTGTCATGAGGAGGAGAGGGAGGGTGTGAAGGAATGAGTGTGTGATGATTGGCACTAGATGAAGGCTCGGGGTCTTGTTTATTAGAGTTTGGTTCCCATTCCATGCCACCAGTCTGGGAATGAGACTCGGGAGGCTGTGAGGGTGTGCTTGGGGTGGGGATGTGAGGAGTGACGGTGGGTGGGGCAGTTGCTGACGGCGACCTGACATCACTGCTCATGCTCCATACTGCAGTCATGTCTTTCTTCAGTTTCTCAACCTCTTTTGAGACCACACCCACTCCCAGAGATACCACACCCACTTCCTGAGAGACCACACCCAGCACCGGAGAGACAGTACCCCCTGAGACTCCACCCACCTTCTGAGAGACCACACCCCCACTCACTTGATTAACAGCAGGAGACACATTTTGGGGTGAGGTATAAATAGGTGGTTGTCGTGACGACCCCTCTTGCATGGCTTCAGCGGTAGGAGTGATTTGATTGGTTGACGAGTTGTGATTATCGTCATTAGAAGGGGCCACCTCATAATCCAGCTGCCCGCTGCCATGGAGACTGGTCTCGATCCCCTCCACCAGAATTCCTGCCAACTGCAGAGATGAAATGATGGTACAACTGGTAATTGGAGCAATGAATTTAGCAAGATTCCGAGAAATGACATGTGATTAGTGATTACTGGCTTACTACATACATATACATTGACTCCGTAACTTTTGACAAACATCACAACAATGTAGAGCCCAACTAGTAGCTAGTTCATTACAACACTGAATACACTGTCAAAATCCCATTTGAAAATGTAATCTATCCCATTTCTGACCTGAGGGATGTTCCAGTACTGCCTGGCATAGCGATCTTGACCTAATGGGAACTGCCTCACTTGCAGAGACTGTCTGTGGATACAGGACCTTATGAACTGCAGTTTCTGCAGACACACAGAGGCAGTGAGAGAGGGAGGTGAGAGATAGAGAGAGTACGTAAGTATGTAAAGAAACAGACATCACTTCTGACCTTCATTAGAGACCTAATCCTCTTCTGCAGCCCTTCCCTCTCTGTCGGAGTCTGGGAAATTTAACCCTAGTCTCACTGTGTGTCAATTTAATTAACCCTCTGCTCACTAACCTCTTCGTCGGAGTCCTCGTCGCTGTATTCTTCGTCTGCCTTCTGCTCATCAAGCTGATCGCTAGGGTCCTCCCCCTCTTCCCCACTGCTCTCCTCGGCCCCTCCCTCCTGCCAATAACATTACCATCTCACCACACAATCTTCCCATAACTAATTCAGTATGAAACAGAATGAAGGACATATTCAATGTCCTCTTGAGGCGTCTCTTATCCAGAGGTGTCACTTGCTGAGGAAAAGTTGTTCACGGCGGGTGGGGAAGATAATTTTACAGATGTGCGTTTCATGCAGTAGTGTATGCTCACTAAAATGTTTTTGTTTTCTACAGTTCCCCCTTTCTTGTCTAAAGCAGAAATTCCCCGCGATTCAATGGGATTTACTTGTCCATAAGTCATCAGTGCCTTCTTAGGAGGTCGACCACGCCCACAATACACGATTGGCTTCTTCTTGGCCCCGATTCCATACTCTGAACTCAGCTTGGAACGGAATCTGGACGGAGCAAACAGAACAACATTAAGGGGGTCCTGACCACTTCTTTACAATTTCGCGGACTATGTCAGAGCAAAAGGCCTTGTGACCGCCACAAATTCCATATAGAGCCCACCTCTTCAACTTGAGGTTGATTTTCCACTTCTCCCTGCGGAAGGAGGCAATTTGCTCCATCCTGATGTCGACCTCGCGGCACAGATCAGGTGAGGCCATGATCTCGTTCACCAGCGCCGCAAGAACCTGCACCTTGTGACTCGGACACAGGCTCTCCAGTGGCTGTGTGGTCAGTGTTTCCACCACCTTGACAGGAAGGGAGGGAGGGAGGGAGGGAGAGAGGGAGGGAGGGAGTACATTGCAGATGACTGAAGATGCGGGAGTAGAGAGAGAGAGAGAGTACCTCAGAGAGATGAGGCATGACTCCTTCATTCAGCCTCTCCTGCAGGAACAGTCTCGCCACCTCACTGGACGTGAACCTTGTCACCACCACCTCCGTCACTGGCTGACCTGCACGGGGGCAACACTTATCTACCATTGTCAACACACTATCTTCTCCACACACACACAGGATATAGATGAACATCTTTCACTCACACCCTGCTAAAATTGCACCCATCAGGCAGATAGAAATTCGATGAAAATAGTACATTCGATAAAAGAAATCAATTTTTGAGGTGGGTATCATTTACCAGCAGTGGTCAGAGCATTACTGCCTGGGTCAAATAGAGCGGCCCTCAGTAGCTGCACAAACAGGTCAGAGAGGACCTCTGTCCCGTGGTTATGGAGGGAGCAGAAGAGAGAGGGGAAGCTGGGGGCTGCCTCCATCTCCAGGAACTCTCTGAAGGACTGGGTGAACTGAAACACCATCAGGAGGTCCGCGAAGGCAGTGGACGGCAGTTTCAGCCAGGCCAGTTTCCCGAGAGGAGGGAAAGAGACGGTGTCGCCGACCAGCAGGTCCTCAGTCGGTCGTTTCAGCTGCTGGGCTCTCTCCAGGTCAAGTCTGTGCTGGTACAGTCGGCGGTCTCTGTCATACTCCTGGGGCACAGATCACAGGGTAGTCTTGCAACCAAATGAGCATCAGTACATTAGCACTGAACACTGGCAGTGTATTAACCCCATACGATCTGAGGACCAGTGTATTAACCCTATACGATCTGAGGACCAGTGTATTAACCCCATACGATCTGAGGACCAGTGTATTAACCCCATACGATCTGAGGACCAGTGTATTAACCCCATACGATCTGAGGACCAGTGTATTAACCCCATACGATCTGAGGACCAGTGTATTAACCCCATACGATCTGAGGACCAGTGTATTAACCCACACGATCTGAGGACCAGTGTATTAACCCCATACGATCTGAGGACCAGTGTATTAACCCCAACGATCTGAGGACCAGTGGTATTAACCCCACACGATCTGAGGACCAGTGTATTAACCCCATACGATCTGAGGACCAGTGTATTAACCCATACGATCTGAGGACCATGTATTAACCCCATACGATCTGAGGACCAGTGTATTAACCCCATACGATCTGAGGACCAGTGTATTAACCCCATACGATCTGAGGACCAGTGTATTAACCCCATACGATCTGAGGACCAGTGTATTAACCCCATACGATCTGAGGACCAGTGTATTAACCCCACACGATCTGAGGACCAGTGTATTAACCCCATACGATCTGAGGACCAGTGTATTAACCCCATACGATCTGAGGACCAGTGTATTAACCCCACACGATCTGAGGACCAGTGTATTAACCCCATACGATCTGAGGACCAGTGTATTAACCCCACACGATCTGAGGACCAGTGTATTAACCCCACACGATGTGAGGACCGGTGTATTAACCCCACACGATCTGAGGACCAGTGTATGTATGTAGACTGTGGAACCTGTTGTTGCAGGTGAGCCAGCAGACGATGCGTCCTCTCCTTGGCTTTCCTCTCTGTCTCCGTCTCTCTCTGTCTCGCCATTCGCTGACGTCTGTACTCCCGCTCCTACAACAACAACAACAACAACAATAAACAACAAACACAGTCTCTCTTTGTTTTTAGTTTCACTCCGCTCTCTGAAACCAGCAGAGCAGAGCCACACATACAGTACCTGAAATGCCAGGGTTTTCCGACTTCACAAGGCAATTCCAGTAAACATACGTGCTGCTACAGTACATGCTCCCCTCTCTGACAACGAGTTCTGTCTTTCTCACCTCGACTTCCTTCTGTCGGTTGATCTTGTCTTGTCTTTCCCTGGCCTGTCTCATCATGGCCCGCTCTCTCTCTCTCCTCTGACGCTGAGCAACCTTCCGCTGAGTCAGGATGGCTCTCTTGACCTCCGACCTCTTCTTCAGCAGGAGGTCCGACTTGGCCTTCATGACCAGCGCTCGTCTCTTGTCATCTTGCAACTGAACAAGATACCATGTAGAATGTTTCAGATTATGTGTATAACAGGTCTTTATCTGGTACTGGAAAATGTCTATACTGGTAGCAGATCAGTGGGGGGAGGACAGGCAAACTAATCACCCAAATACCTGAACTAGCCAGTGCAATACTCAGACTGCGTGGCATCAGTTGCTATAGCGATGATGACAAACCTTTTTCCAGGCTCCTCTATCCTCTCCCTCTCCTCCTGTTATCACTCTTGCACTGGACCCTGCTACCCCGGCAACCACACTGGCTGTGACATTCCTGGAGGTGGAGTCGTGTACGAAGAGTCTTACCCTGCCACGCCCCCTTCTCTTCCTCACCACCACACCCTCACCAAGATCTGCAACCAATCAATGACATCACTTAATTACATCACTATTGCACACACATACCCCCACTTGTGATTTGTGCAGTTCTTCCTCCTCGACCACGCCCACCAATCCTGCCTCGACCACGCCCCCTTCCTCGTTTAGTGGGCGGAGCCAGAGTCTTGCCAGGTCCTGCGTCGTTCTGTCCAGTCCCTGTTCCAGATCCCTGAGACTCTGGAATGGGAATCAGTGCAGGAGGAGGTTGATCAAGGTTGACTGATTGAGGGGCAGAGCTTGTCGGCACGGTGATAAACACACGTCCAGTGGGCGTGGCTGCAGAAGGGGAAGTTGTATGAGGAGAAGGTCCGGGAGGTGGATTGGAATGAAGACTGTCAGTTCCAGTGAGGGGAGGTGGAATTGACTGGGGACACGGTGTGTTGGGGGTGTGGTCAGTTGCGTCATTGGAGGAAGAGGCGAAGACCTGGGTTGGCTGAGCTGTGGCAGGAGGAAGATAGCCAATGGAGACTGAACTCACTGCATCTCCACTCAGCGAGTCAGCTGGCACCATCTTCCCTCTCCCTCTCCCCCTCCCCCTCCCTCTCCCTCGGCCTCTTCCTCTTCCTCTACCCCGTCCCCTCCCTCTTGCCCTCACAGTTGGAGTGATGTCAGCTCCTGAAACAAAACACATGTCTCAACTACTGTCTTTGTTTTAAGGTCACACTTGGCCTGGAGACAAGGTTTGGCTAATACAACTCTATTAGAGGCCACCATCTCCCACACATTGGCTGCTGGCAGACACCACAGCCTCTTGCCAAGATATTTCCACTCATCACCCCTTAGGCTATTGTACCTCTATGACACTCAATGCATCCGCTTAATTCAAGACAAACGACACTTTTGTTACCATGCTTTGAGACACACGTACTGTGCATAGAGGAAGTTTGTGCACAAACAAGATTAAATATGGAAATTGAACCTATTTTTCTGTCTTGATGTATCCTTATTTCGATCCAACAGTCTCCTCATTTCAATACCTACAATTTTGTATTAACAGACCTGTCATTGTTGTCATGGCAGCAATAGTGTCGTCGGCTGAAGTGGGTGTAGCTAGGGACGTGGTTCTCTTCCGGCCACGCCTACTAATCTTGATGCCTCCCTCGTCCTGGTCGTCCTGAACCTCTCCGAGCTGCAGTTTGCGACTGAAGGTGAAGCAGTCAAGAGGAAGGTCCGAAATTCCTCTGGTCTGCAGGTAGCGCTGGATCTCAGGGAACGTCCGCAGACGTCTGCTGCAGGGAGTGATGTAGAATATGTCTGTTCTCATCTGGTCCACTCCCACATGTGTCCTCACTATGCGACGCCAGCTGCAATGAGAGAGAGAAAGAGGAGAGGTTTTTATATACCAGGAGGGAAAATGAGGTGTATGTGTACATTATTCTCAAGTAAAACTAGCGATCCGAGTCAGCACTTTTGTGCTTACATTACTGTTACTAATGTGTGTTTGTAAACGGCATAAGTATAGCTTGTGAAAGTCATTCGTTTCACTATTTCCATTTCTTTATACACAAGAAATTTTGGCTGGACTGACCCATGTTTGAACGGCAGCTGCAACTTGTCGTGATCCAGTGTTTTGTGCCTCGCTCGACCTCGTCTCATTACCAGGATTCCTGACCCCGTTGCTAGGCAACACAAACACATTTAAAAGAAAGGAGTAGATATTATGGGTGTGGTCTCACTTGGAGTGGTTGCCACGGTTTCCATCTTCTCAGTCTCTTCCTCGTCCTCGTCCTCACTCTCTCTGCTGGCCACCGTGTAAGGTGGTGCCTGTGGTAACGAGTGAGTGTGGGGAGGAGGGGGAGAGGGGGCGGGATGAGGAGCGAGAGCAGGAAGAAAAACATCGTCCTCTTCGTCACTGCTGTGACCTTCGCGACCTCTCCTAATGAGGGGAGGAGGTCTCGGGGCAGAAGGTCGGATGTCAAGTTCATCGCCGGGGGAGACGGACCTTCGGAGGGGGAGGTGGGAGGGAGGAACTACGTCTGGTTTACTAGAGCTTTTCATCTCTCGATCCAATTCTACACTCTCCTTCATGTCTATCTGTAACCCCTGACTACCTGGAGTGGGTGGGGTCAGAGGGTGTGGCCTCACAGTCGTAGAATGTTCAGACATATTTCGGTTCACTTTGGTTGGTTTTGGTTCCCCACCCCCTCCCCCTAGCAGGGGAGATTCGTATGCCAACATGGGGTTCCGGTGTGAGTTTGGTTCCGCACCCCCCATGGGTAAGGGACCACTGTGGTCTTCTGGAGGACAGATGTCACGTGACTGATTCAAGCAATCCGATTGGTTGTCTCCTTGGTGTTCAGGGATTAATTCAGGAGGACTGTAAGGAGCCTCGCTCCCCACTCCGCCATTACCTCCCTCCCCTGATGGAGGTGGGCAGTAATTAGAGTGCAGTTGAAAGGGCTGAATGTCGTCAAGAGAAGTATCGGGGGTGGGGCTAAACGGGGCCACGCCCTCCTCACCCCGGAATGCCGGAAGACTTCTCTTGGACTGGTCGCCATAGTGACTCGTGGGGTCAAAGGGCACAGTTTGTTTCCCTTGGTTGCTCTCGGCGGGGGGAGTACCCCTGAGGAAGAGAGGGCTGGAGCTGCGGTGACGGGGTGTGGGGGTGTGGAATTTGTGGGTGTGGCTGAGGTGGAGTCTGGTACATTACCTCGCCTATTCCTGCCTGGTAACCGGCGGCAACTACGGGGTCACCAAGGTCAGGAGTCGTCGGTCCGGTAGGTGTTGGTTGGAACTGAGCAATGGGTGGAGCCAGCTCCGCCCCATTGGGGGTGGGCGTGGCATGTTCTCGGAGGATGAAGTCCATTGAGAATGGAGATTGGGTGACGGTGTGAGAGGGGGGAGGGTGTGAGGGTGTGAGGGGGAGCGGGGACAGCTGCGGCGGCTGAACATTAGTGGGTGTGGCTTGTTGTGAGGGATGAAGTGTGGGAAGGTGGATTTCCCCACGTGGCTGGAGGGTGGAGGAGAAGGGAAGGGCGAGAGCATCTGATTGGACAGATGACTGACGAGACTCCGCCCATGTATCCACGGGGACCTGGTCTGAGAGGTGAGGGGAGAAGGGGAAATCCCCAGCGGGGTTTGCAGGGGGATAGAGATAATGCTGTGCAACTGGAAATTGTGAAGGGGGGAGGGTGTGAGGGGAGACGATGTGCTGGGGAGCCTGGGGATGATGATAAGTCAGGGACGACGAAGGGTAGTGTGGGTGGGTGGAGCTAGTCGGCTGTTGCCATGGCCACATGACGACAAATCCACCTGTAAGAAACACAAAACGTGATCCTCATTTCAAGCATAATTTTTCAGGTTGGCACTGAGTGGTATGGAACTCCGAGTTGCCGGTGAACGAGAGCTTTGTGTAACATAACAACACATACCTTTATTAGGGTGTGGTGGCTCTGTGGTCAAAAGGATATAGAGCTACACAAACTTGGCTCACTACCATCCAATTCTCTCTCTCATCTCTACCTCTTCCTCCCCTCTCTTCCTTTCTTTCTTTCTTCCCCCCTCCCTCTCCTCTCCCTCTCATACAAGTCAAACAATCGACATTACTACAAGCTGTGTAGATGTACCTATTGGTACAGGTTGTGTGTGTAAATCACCTCAAAAATGACACTAACATTTCACAGGCTATTGTCAAACTCCGTACGTGAAAAAATCCAATGCTCGACTTAAAAAAGTGAAAGCGAAGTTCCTTCAGAGCCAGCAAACCAAATGTACATATGACATAGAGATAATGATATTCATGACTTTTTATCTGTCTAAATTTTAAAAAACTCTTACCTTAAACTTTCGCCAGGGGTGCAGTGGCAGCAGAGGTACCTCGCCGAGGTATAGGAGTCCCGTGGGAACCCTGATTGTTAGGCAACAGCCAATCAGATTGCTCAGAATCAGTGATGTCACACACCTGTAGTGGAGTGGCCACACCATACAGTGGACTCAGTCAGTTCCCCAGCTCCCAATATTGAAGAATATGAGGGGGCTAGGGGGGCAGCCATGCCCACCCTGCAGCTAGCGCAGGCGACGGCGAGGGGAAATTACCCTGAAAACCTCGCTCGAGGCGTCAAAACGGCAGTCGCGCACGGGCACGTCGCCGCGGGTAGGGGGACGTGGAAAAATAGGTGTAGAGGTATTGTAACTTACCAAAAACGACGGAAATGGGCGCTAGAAGTGGCTGGAAGGAGTTATTGGGCGCGCGAGAAAATCACCAAAGACAGCCACCATTTTGAAAAATGGGCAAAAGTTTCTATTGACAGAGCAGGGATATTAGAGAGCATATGTGGTGGCATTTAGGTGACGTCACGTATAATTATGTCCTTGAAATGTGGCCGTGTAATGAATGCGTAAATAAGCGATAATACTATTATACCGGACATGTGTTATAAATACGCGAGTGAGTATTTAGTCCTGAAACGACTCGCGGTAGATTCGCCATATTTCTCTGGGTCTGTGGGGCTCGGTGGGGTCCGACCCTCCCCGCAGGAAGCCCAAAACCAGTAAATAAGTTCAGAGACAAAGTGAAATCAAAGCGCGATGAAATCCGCGCAAGCGCTTGAAGCCAGATGACGCATTCCTGTGGTCACAAGCCACGCCCCTCACAAATTTCAAATAGCGCACCCACGTGGTCGAGTCTGGACGATCAGATGATCAAGAAAGAAAAAAGAAAGCTTCAGTTTGACAATGGAGTGGCTGCTGTACTATGATGCTCTGGCCATTGTGTACGTGCAGGACGCGTTCTACCGTCTGCCCTACATGGAAACCCTGGCCGTGTCCGTAACGAAGCTGGGAGACCCGCGGTACGCTTACATGGTCGTGTTCCCTGTAATTTTCTGGTGCCTGGGGCCAGTTGCAGGGTTTCACGTGATCCTGGCAGCCAGCGCCGCGGAATGGTGTAACATTGTCCTCAAATGGTAGCTCTTTAGCGACCTCTGATCCTCTTTGATTTGATTGTCAACATTTCTAGGTTGTTGCTAGGCAACCGGCCGTATTGGTGGGCGTGGCATCACACAGATTGGCCGCACCTCCTGCACCAGAGTCCAGTGACGTGCGAGACAGGACCAGGTGCGGTGTCTCCAGGCCTTGCTTTGTTTATCTTCTCTCTGTCTCCAAGGCAACCCTAGTGGTCATGTGATGATCACGCTGGTGGTATTGTTGACGTGTCTTGATCACGTGGAGAGGGGAGGGAGGAGGAAGAGGTTTCAGCAAGTGGTGTGGGTGGCTGTGTGTGTGATTGGGGTCTCACGTCTCCTCATTTCCTCACACTTCCTCCACCAGATACTCTGTGGACTACTGTTTGGTGTCCTAATCCATGCTGCCATAAGCCGTCATCTTTCCACCCTCCTGCATTCCTCCCCAAACTCCAAGTTCTGTGCAATGATGGGTGTAGCAGTTGTCATGCTGTCTCTGGCCCTATTCCTGTTCCATTCCTGGACAAGACTGGGAATGGACCCAGGCTTCTCCATTCCTCTAGCCAAAAGGTATACAGGTTGACTGTCCATGTGTGTCGATAGAAGTGCCCTAAACTCAAGTCTTTTTCCTCTGTTCATAGCAAGTTTAACCCTCAGGTTCTGTGCGGATAGTCGATGGGTCAAACTGAACACAACTCCGTTCTTCTCTCTCATGAGATCTGCCGGGACTGTAGTGGGTGTGGCCCTAGTAACTGCACTTCGACCTCCATCTGAAAGGCAGCGGACTCTCCACCCACTGGTTGGACTGTTGATAAGTGCTCTTCTGATTGGATGCCTGGAGATGGTTCCCATGACGACAGAAATCACAACATTCTACGTCCAGTCTTTGTGTATGTGTGCAATGATCCCGCTGACTGTTGGAACTGTACATTTCCTCATCAGCAGATGAGTCACTGCTCTCTTTATAATCACACCACCATTAATTTGGTTTCTAAGGATGTTTGATAAAATTATTATTATTATGAGCTAAAAGATGACATTTTTGAAATGTGCATCAGTCAGCATGATTGTGATCTGTTGCCAACGGCAACTTCGACTTTCTCTGTTGCCATGAGAACCAGCTTGCCAACAGTTTTGAGGCTTCCCTGAGGATGGCTTTGCTGACTTGGCGGGAAATGATGGAAGCAGTCAGTATCAGGAACATGGAGTTGTACCAGAACATGAGGCCAGTGTGGGAGAGCCATGACGTCGTCTGGTACCAGCCCAACAGACAGAATTGGGTGATCCCTGCAATAATGAACCAAGTCATGTGATATTGCCTGGGAACAATTCTTTAGAGGTGGATCAATTTTATACTGTCAAGACCAAAAAACCTTCAATGGGGATAATCTGACAAGCTCAGGTAGTCATGTGATTGTCATGTGACTCACCTAGAGTCTTGGAGGTGAGAGGAAGTGCAGAGGTAAGCATTAGAAGAAGGACGCAGTTGGCTATGACATGTGTGAGTGGGGTGTTGTGAGGAGTTGGAATAAGGCGGTGGAAGTGAGGGAGAGAGTACAGTCCAACAATACTGGCACACTGGATATAGCTGGGAGAGAAAGGGTTAAAGAAGAATCCAGAATCTATGATGCCACAAATTGAGAATCCAGTTTCAGTTTGACCACTTTACTTGAGGTGTTTCGTCATTTCGTAAGTGTCCTTAAAGAAATAAGGGTCGTTGATTAGAATAGAAAGAGAGGGGAATGAGAAGGGACTGGGGATACAGAATAACAGTGATCTCCACCAGAGAACCCAGCAGGCCAAGGTGAGAGGTACTGGCTTTCCCTAGTAGATAGTCAACCTGACTGACAACATTACAGCTGGAGAAAGGGAGGGAGTTAGCAATATTATTATTACAATAAAGAGGTCCCACCTGTCGGGGTAGAGGATGAGTGAGGCAGAGTTCAGAGCCACTAGCAGCAGAGCTAGCAGAGTGACAGCCAGCAGACCCAGGAAGGCCAGTGGATACACAGCATGTCTCTCCAGTGGAGAAGAGTTCAGGTGTCTCTCTATTACACACCAGAGTAAAATGACGGTCCTCACAAACTTGGGGATGGGAAGGGGTTTACCTAGCTGGGCCTTTCTGTGCTGGATTTCATCCAGTGTCTTTCTCTCTCCCACACCATTCTTCAATTGGTCCTCCATTCCCGTCGTTCTCCTCCTTAGCCCCTCCATCTTTACCCCAGCCAGGTGTCCTAGGAGAGTTTTTTCTTCACACTTGATATCCTCCAACTCTTGTTCAACATTGGTGGTAGGCTGGTGAAACAGCTGGTAAAGGGTTAAAGAACGAGATAGAAGAAAAGGTTAAACCTTGGGAGAGGTGATGAGAGCTCCGAGAACAGTGAAGAGATGTGACACGCCAAGTGGAGCACAGATTCCCATGAAGACCACACCCAGCAATGACATCACCGAGTAGAGCAGTGGTACATAAACGAACCATGGAGTCTATGGAAATGCCAATGATGAATTAGGAGTTCATTTGATAGCTGACATACCCCCCACGTTGTGTCTTGATCCAGGAGTAACCATGACAACCCAAACACCAAGGCAACCAGGAGCAGCAGAACTACTACTGTCTCATACACTCTTGACATGACTCCCTGGGTGGAGACGTGAAGGTAGAGATGAGGGGGGGGGAGTCCTACCTTCCTGAAACAGGCCAGGCCTGCTGATTCACTGAACAGGTAGGCGAAGGGTAGACAGAGAAAGAGTGATAAGTTGCAGCCCAGAACACCAAGTTCCACAGACCTGCGGAGGGCTGTAGTTGGAGCACAAGATGAAGACGATTACCGGCTCACCTTTGATAAGTGATGGGTTTAGCCATTGGACATAGTCACTGGTGGGGTATAGGACAATGACTTCATTGCTAACGATGGACAGAGGGAGAAGAAGTGCTGATGCTGCACTCACTGAGAGGGCAAAGGAGCAAAGCCAAGTCCTGTGGAAGACAGCTGCTGTGACACAGATATAGAGAGAGGAGGGGGATTGGCTGACGTGATGCGGTAGACTAGTTGGTCCTCTTGGTCGGTGTAGCAGTCTTCTCTGGAGAAGTGCCGCTGGAATCTCGTCACTAGGCAGTAGGACCCCAGGTATAGGCTCAGAAACACCAGCAGACATATCTAGAAAACAAGACCCGACGGCAGTCAAATCTCCCGTCGGGAGGCGCATAGCTGCATCACGGCTCACTATGGACTCTCTGACAGTGTCGTAGAACACCCGCTGTCTCTCCCAGTCCTCCACACCCGCCTCCTCCGCCATATGCGAGTTTTGCAGATTTCAAAATTACGCACGCTCAAATAGAGAACGCTCTGAACGGTTGGTTTGTGCAGCGGCAGGCGAATGTGAAACACCACATCCGGAGAAAACAATCATCACACGAGTACACAAACCACACCACATGACACACACACACGCACACGAAGGACACGTTCATCGTTTCTTGAACATTCTTCCGAACAAGGATTTCTTGGGAGGGCTCTGAGGAGGAGGTGCAATTCTGATGGGCTGAACAGATCGTCTCTGTGAACGAGGCTGTAATTTTATGGGCAAGGGAGCACTCTGCCGAGCTTCATAAGCTGCCACTTCATGAGGAAAGAAGATTTTGGTTGGCTCCACGGATATCTTTGGTCTTGGAGGTGGAGCAATAAATTTCGGGACGTCAGTGACGCAGTGGCGCAAGTCGGTGAGCTGTGAGGGATAGTGGTACAGCCGAAGAGCCTGGTAGAGAGATGGAACACAGCGCTGGTTCATGTACTCATCCAGGGACACCAGAATTAGCCGCTTCTGTTCGTTGAAAAAGATGTTGCGGATCATTGTCCGGTCAATCTTGAGGTATGATGAGGGGAGAGAAGGATTAGCGTCCAGCTGCTGGTACTCACTGAGGTAGCGTGGAGTGACAAACACGACAATGTTGAAGCAGCGAGCAAAGGCAGTTGTCTTGAACTCGGCATCCATCATCTCTCGATCGTTGGCGTAATGAACACTGAGACCAACACTGCTCCAGATCCCCCACAAGACTGGCCATCTGGGGAACAGAGGCAGTAATGCAGAGTAACAGACAGAATGGGCAGGTCTTACAGAAGATCTGGTGCTGGACTCAGGATAGTACGAGATGAAGACCTTCTCTTTGGAGGGGACCACATCTATGAGACAAGGTTTCACTGTAACAAATGCCACAACAGCTCCATGGGTGTGTGTGCGCGTGGCTCCCACTAGTCTGAGGTATTTCCTGTAGTATGTACTTGGAAACAGGAGGGAGCTAATGGAACTTCCTGTAGTCATGCAGCTGTAGTATGGGGAAGACCAGCGCTTGCCATCTACTAGCATTTCCCACTGCACCCCAACCCACAACTGTCCACAAAACCAGGCCCCAAGGGGAATGCAAATGGTGCTGAGTTTGACAGCCTTTCTACAGTATGTAGTGGCCCCCTCTCTCTTGTATGTGTGTGTGTGTGTAATACCTGTGGCCTCGCTGGGATGAACAGAGAGGGAAGGGGCTTCCTCTTCGGGCGAACGAGCAGGTCTAGTCTCTCGCTGTATAAAGAGGGGAACATCCTCTTGAGATGAAAGAGGAGGTGTGGCAGACAGGCTCTCCCGCCGCAGAGGCTCTGAAGTCATGTGGGTTGGTGGTGACTGGACTGTTGCAGTGGGCCAGCCATCACTGCAGATGATGTAGTCGTCCCCAAATGGTGGAAACACTCTATCTCTCTCAGTGTAGTTGTCCTTGATTCGAGCAGCTGTGGCCCTCAGCTGAGTGAGGTCCAGACCTGGTAGAATTGGGACAGAGGGAGCAGTACAACACAGATGGCAAACACACGTACGTAGTCAGAACAAGCTAGCAGCATCCACATCTGGGTATAGAAACACACCTGGTAAGGATGACTGGAGAATACGAATGCAGTCTTCGCGCCCCAGGCAGAGTAGTGCGAGAACCAGCTTCTCCACGGTGCTTCTTCCGGACTGGCCCCACGCTATCAGCAGCGTACGCGTAGAGTCCGACTTACGAGCCGCGATGAAGGCAGTGTGCCGCGCGTTGAACCCGATCACTCCCGCCAACCCCTTCCAGTCCTTCCCCAGAGCCAACTGTGGCTCCAGGTGCTGGACGAGCTGGTCGAGAACAGCCTGGGGCAAGGACAACACGGGCACCTCCATCTCGCTGGCGTGTAGCTGCCGCCGCGACACAAACAATTTTGACGCGCCCACGCATAATAATGCGACGTCAAATGACGTTTACCGATTCCCGAACGGAACGGAACGGAACAGGCCTTCCCGGTGCATATAAAAGGCGTCGTACGCTGAGGAGAAAGGAAGGCATGGGGTAATGGCAGTCAGCCAGTCACTGTAAGGTAGTGGTCCGCCGAGGGCCGTCCTGCCATTTACACATACTGGTAGCGAGCTGCAAGGTGGCCCGAGACACCTTTTCCCCTGCTATAGGGTTCGCTGCTTCTGAGCAGAGCTGCAGCTCGCGACGTGCGTCTGGACGCCATTTTATTTCGATGACGTGTCGACTATAGACTACTTCCCGCTGTTGTGTAAGACAATGTGCCGTGCACTGCGTGTTTCTCTCTGGACTAAGCGGGGAGATGAGGCCGGGCGCGGAACTATTGGAAATGGAAAACTCCATCTGGATACTGTCAGAGGTGAAAGAGTGTGAGGAATGGTAGAAAACAATGATTGCAAGTTGTTTCAAGGGCGCCATTTTTTCCAGGTTTTCAGGGAAACGCCCTTTGGGGCCGTAGTGCGCGTGCGCAAAACTGAGGCGCACCGTGTGTCTGGTGAAAATGGCGATGCGTATGCCGCGGGAAGAGGAGCGAGTGAAGAACCCGAAGATGCGGTGGTACTTCACGAAGGAGGAGCTGGCCAATTCTCCTTCCCGCCGCGAGCACGGTGTGGAGCCAGGCAAGGAGCTATCCTACCGGCAGCAAGCCGCCAATATGATCCAAGACATGGGCCAACGACTGAACGTGTGAGTTGAGGTCCGCGGTCAGGGGGCCACTCCCGCCTTCTCGTGAGGTGGCTAAGTAGTACTTACCGGTTTTACTCGTTTGCCTCACGCTAGAAAGGCCGTGTTTTGAACGAGGCTTGGCTAAACTTATTCTCTCTAGACCACACCCCCAGACTCTGCCTCTCCTGTTACCACAGGAACCAGCTCTGTATCAACACGGCCATCGTGTACATGCACAGATTCTACTGTGTTCATTCTTTCAAGACCTTCCACAGACATGTGAGACACCAGACTTGCCAATGGTCATCTCTGACATTTGCTCTCCCTCCTCTCCAGTTGCTGGCCACGGCGGCGCTGTTTTTAGCGGCCAAGAATGAGGAACAGCCTCGTAAGCTCCAGTATGTGGCCCAGGCATCGTATGCCTGTGCCTATAAAGACCAGCCAATGCTGGACATTCAGAGTCAGGTGACTGTCATGTGACTTGCCTCTCGCCAACCACCTATCCTTTGTTGATATTGCCTCTCTATTAGGCTTACACAAAGTTAGTCGAGGACATCACTTACTATGAATTACTGCTGCTCGAGACACTAGGTGAGGGTCAGGTGGGCTTTAAATGGGAATTGTGTTGGCATCTCAGCTATTGGTGCAGGGTTTGAAGTCAATGTGGACCATCCTCATCCGCACGTGGTGAAGTGTATGCAGTTCCTGAAAGGTGAGTGAGGGTTTGTCTCTAGTTCGCTGTCTCATAGCCAATCTCCCACTTGCCAGCGAGCAAGGATCTGGCCCAGATGGCCTACTTCATGGCTCACAACAGGTGTGCTCTTCCTCCCTCTCTCTTCCCCTCGTTCTCTTCGCTCCCTCGCGTTCAGCATGCTGCTAGCCTTGTTTTGTACAGTCTACTGGCATGACTTGGAGCCCAGGTTCATACGTAACTTGTGGCTCTCCAGTAGTTCATTGGCTAGTGTGCCTGTGGGGAAGTCAGTTGGGTTGAAGAGGGGGTGGCGGATATAAGAGGTACGTAGATGAATGCACCATTCTCTATGGGCATGTTCCATCCGCCACCTGATTTCTTCTGCAGTCTGCTGCTGACAACGTTTTGCCTGGAGCACAGTCCTAGCACCGTGGCCTGTGTGTGTATCCACCTCTCGTGTCGGTGGAAGGGTCTGGACATCCCTCGCTCCTCGGACGGGAAGAGCTGGTGGGAGTACATTGACCCCAGCATCAACCGTACCAAGTTAGATGGTCAGTCCCTCACTGCAACCGGTGCAGTAATGGAGTCCCTGTGTGTGTGTTCAGACCTCACAAAGGAATTCCTGATGATCTATGACAAGAGCCCCAGTAGACTTCAGAAGAAGATAACAGAGCCCATCAAACTGCAGGTTCTTGTCTCCTCTCTATTCCCTGGTGCCTGTTGTTGACTAGAGGAATGTACACTCTCACAGGGGAGCAGTAGTGGTGGTTCCAGTGTACCTTCTAGTAGTGCATCTACCAGTGCCAGCAGAGCTCACGGGCCTGGTCACAGTCTATCAGACAAGGGCAAAAGGCCTGCTGGGTCTGCTGCGCATCCCGTGAAACACCAGAAATCCAGTGTGTTTGCTCAGTCTGGTAGTCATGGTAACAAGCCACACCCACAAGCCGGAGACATGAAGAATCACAGCAGAGTTGGCCACACCCACCAGGCACATCCACAGGCCTCCCGTGGAGTGAAGCGGCATCACTCATCAGCTGAGAAAGAGGCTCACGGCAAGAAGAGGGTTAAGACAGAACACAACTCGCAGCCTCCACTTCCCATCTCCTCTCATCCCCTTCGTCCACCACTCCCATCTGGCCCTCCACCAAACTCTGGTCTCCATTCTCACCCTCCACCTCCTCTCCCCCCTGCCCCGGCTCATCATCACAAACTTCACTCTAAGCACAACTCTCTTGCACCTCCCCTTCCGCCTCCCTTACCACACTCTCCCTCCCCTCCTCCACCTCCTCCTCCCAGACAGTAACATTCTTTTCCCTCACCAAACCCTTATCAGTTTGGTCTGCATTTGATCTTGGCCTACGGGTGTTTCTGGCATTTAAAATTTCACTATCACCATAATCTATTTATGATGTCATCATTGTGTATTAAAGTAATTGTGTTTGCTGCAGCGGCACTATTTTTGTCATTCACTTGATCACATGTTGACAATGTCATAACGATATACAATCAGCAAATTAATACAAAGTCTACTTATTAGATTATATGGCATTACAATCATAGGTAAAAGTTAAACAGTTTCTTCTTCTTCGAAGTGTGTGTTGACATGTTTCTCGAAATCTTGCTCTGACGTTCGGAGAGGGAACTTCATGTTGCACATGGGGCAGCTGCGAGAACTTTTGTCACTTCTCTTCACGCTCTCTGAGAGTTGAGCCACTTTGGCCTTCAGGTGATCTCTTTCAGTCAGGAGGGCTGCGTACTCTTTCGCTTTCTCTTCAAACACCATCTTCTGTCGTTGAATTTCTTCGTTCTTCTCTGAAATTCTCTTGTCATGGCGATCTTCAAGGCCCAGGTAGCGTTGTTTGGCTTGGGCCAGCTCCATTTCCAGGGCAGTGATTTTGCTCTCCATGTCGGTGCGCTCCTTCCTGCGAATACTCAACTCGGCTGCGGCTTTTTCACAATTTTGGACCATTTCCTCGTGCTCTTGTTGGGCTGCTGGTGGAGTGGCAGGGATCCCTTCTTTCTTTAGTTTTCGTCGCAGTTCGACGCACTCTTGTGCCTTTGCTGTATACTCGGCTTGACAATGCTTCACTCGCTCCACCATTTTATCGTGGTTGCTTTGAAGCCTTGCGCTTTCCTCCTGGAATTTCTTCAGTTGAAGCAAAACTCTCACGTTCTTCTCCCTTTCCTCGGAATAATACTTCTCAAGGTTTTCGTATGCCTGCTGGAGTGCAACATATGCTCCCTTGTCGACAACATTAGGGGGCGGGGGAGGCATGGGCTGGGGGTTCTTGTCCTTCCGTGCACCCACCAGTTCCACTATGTTGGCCTGCGTACAAGCTAACTCCTGCTCCAGCTTCTCAATCTGCTCGTCTTTCTGTGAGAGTGCAGCACTGATGTTGGCACTGAGACTGCTCTGTTGTTGCAGCTGCTCTCCCTGGCTTTCCTGCACTCTGCCCCTCAGCTCCGCACACACTGCATGGAGCTCTGCATTCGTCGCTTCTGCCGTCTCCAATTTCTCGGTGATTTGCTCGAGCTCCTCGCCTCGTGTGCCCACCAGTCTACGGAGATCGTCCACCTGTGATTCCTTGATCCTTATCTGCTGCCTCAGCTCTTCAGCCTCACTCGTTACCACCACCAATTCCCCCTCTACTGCTGACACGCGTCCCTTCAGCACCTTCACCTCCTGTTCCTCGCTCTCCTTGGCCGTCAGGAGCTCCTGGTTCCTCGCCTGCTCTCGCTTCACCTGCTCTGTGAGCCGTTGCTCAGCCTCGCATTTAATGGCAACCTCACGTTCCAGCTCTACGACACGAGCATCTTTCTCTGCAGATTTTCTCTTCTCTTCCTCTGTCTCCTTCCTAGCCCTTTCAATTTCCTCTTTCAGGGCGTTCACTTCCGTATTCAGCGCCACTAACTGACCCTGAGCGGCAGAAGTGGCTGCCTCGAATTTCTGACGGAGACCTGCATTTTCGCCAGCGAGCGCTTCGTTCTCGGCCTTCGCCGCGGTCAGCTCTTCGCCCAATTCCGCGCGTACCTCGCGACGCAACGACTCCATTTCTTCCTTCTTGGGCTTCTTCTGTAGAACCATTATGCTCTTCATGCTGTCGTCCGTGACCTCCACCAGCTCCATGTCGTCCAGGGAGACGCTGAGAGGTGCGAACTGAAACGGAGCGCTGGCGCCCCGTACGGCTCCATCCCGACTGACGAAGCAGAGCTGGTAGAAATGACCGTCTTCGGGCGGGAGACGACGGCCGGCGAATGTGACGCAGCCCTCTTTGGTGTCGGCGTCAGGCTGAGTGGCCCACTCGAAGGTGTAGTAGTCTCTACTGGAGGTCCAGCCGACTCGAAACAGACCGACCCAGTCCCTCTTGCTGGTCTGTAGCTCCGAGCCTGGGTCTATGACGTAATGTACCACCATCTCTTCCCCGGGAGGGTAGCTCCGCTGAATATCCTGGAAAGTTGCCATGTCTTTAGCCTCACTCATCTTCTTTTGCCTTGCGGTTTGTTTTCTCTGTGGGCCACACGGTCTGGACGACGTTTATATGGATCTAAAAATAAACTATTACTAATGTCCATGACGTAGCCCACAACACGTCAGAGTCATGTGAGCAATGATGTCGCGTCGTCAGTGGCAGTGCAGCGTGTATGAAATTTCTATATATAGCCGCCACATATTCATTATTGACGTCATGTTCAGTCAAAATTCCCTCATTATGATTATCTGGCATGGGTAAGCAACTATGTGTATTGTAAACAGTGCTCGATGTGCAGTTGTGCAGAGAACTCAGTCTCGTGGGAATGGAGTACTTTCATGCAGACAGGACACTGGAACGACGGCTGTCCTCCCTTCAACTGGTCCATGATTGACATGATGTGGTCCTCCGACAGGGATACCCCCCCTCTCTGTACACCTTGACCTGTCCTCCCACCTTCGATACCTTCCTTGTGTGGCTTACATGATGATGTCACACTCACAGTGTCTGTGTAACAAATGATGTCATTGTGAGGTAATATGCCAGGTGGACTATGACCAATTTTTACCTGTTCGGTTTCTTTTCTTGGCAGCTCTCTGAGACTTCTTGTCTCCTGTTTTATCACTGTCTCTCACAAACACATCTATCACTGGTTTCTGCCAAACACTTCCAATCTGTGTGTTAGCTGATGTGGCTACAGGATCAGAGGTGGTTGGCGCCTCCTTCTGGTGTGCTGACTGTGGACTTGCTCTAGTCTTCCTCCACAGTTGTTCTCCTGACAGTGTCTTCAACTGGGCTTCATAGGCACCCATCTGAGCCACTTGCCTCTGGCAGTGCTGGGTTAGAACTGCATTCTCTCTCATCAAGTCCTTGTTTTTGGCTTTGAGACCATGTTTTTCCTCAGCCAACTTCTTGTTCTTGTACTTTAGCTTTGACTTCTCCAGTTGCAGTGAGGAAAGCTGTGTGCTCATGTTCTCCAGGGTCTCTTGCAGGCAGTCCCTCTCTCTGCAGGCACTGTGCAGCTTGTCATGGAGAACGCGGACCTTTGTCCTCAGTTCTCTGTTGGCACTCTTGAACATGCCCAGACCCTCGTTCTCCAGAGGATGCTCTGACCCACACTCAACCACCTGGTGTTCAGGTGGAGGCGTGACTGCCTCTGAGAAGGTGACAACTTTAGGCGTCTGAGCAATCTCAGCGTCTTCTCTCCCCTTCCTGGGGTCAACTCCAAACCTTCCCCCCACTCCTCCATTGCCACTGTGTGGCTCTGATTCAGCACTGCTCTCTTCCCCTGACTTCAAATCTCCCCCAATGTCACTCCAGGCCTCAGACCCACTCGAATCCTCCTCCTCCTCCTCCAGAACCTCCCACTCTCCCGACAACCCTCCGGACACCAGACTGAAACTGTGCTCCCCGTCATCTGCTCCTCCCAGTGGTGAGTGGGAACGAAGCTTCTCGATAAACGCACTGTCTTCCGGGGTTCGTATCTGAATACTTGGAAAGTTCTCTTGTGGACAGATGATGAACGGCTCGCTCTTGCCCACCACACTGCGCAGTCGACTGCTCCCGTAGAGCAAGACGTAAGACGCCGGTCGACGGCCGCTCAACTGCCCCGTAGTCATCGTTACTGAGCCCGTCTTGTACAGGCCGCCGTCGCAAAGATGGTGCTGTGCGGTGTCTCCGACTGAAGCGCTGGCCACGCTTCTCTCTCTGGCTCTGCTGGCATACAACTTGACCTTGTCCTCGGAGTGAGGCAGAAAGGAAGAGGTTGGGTAACGGAATGCGACGCGAATGTCCTCTCCCGCGACATAATGAGTGCTCAGTCCACGGAACTGAACTGGCCTTTGTCGTTGGTCGTCTGTCTTCATTTCTCTGCCTTCGGCTGCCATGACTAAATAAGATCCAAGTTAGATTTTTGTGTTTCTCTAGTCCTCGATTTGAAGGGGATTTCCCGATTTATGACGTAATGGTAATCTAAGTGCGCATGCGCAGTGAGCCAAGAAAATGGCGTCGGTGGCCGAGAAGCTGAAGAAGCTGAAACCAACGGGCAAGAATGTGGTAGAGAAGTATAAAGAGGTACTAGACTTTGCCCTGATCTCCGTGAAAAGTTCCGGGGAGCAGCAGCAAGGGATACAGCTGTTCTTGACGGCCGTCTCTGACGAGGCACTTGGCATTGTCAATTCCAAGTCTCTTCTGAGTGCCTTTGCGGAAAGCATCCCTGGAATAAGGGACGATGGAGTGGCGAGGAGCGTGAGTGAGTTTGCTCTGGCCAGGATCCAGGGGCGGATCGTGTCTTTCGAGGAGCAGGCGACCCAGATACGGCTGGCCTTGGCAACGGTGTTAGAAAGACAGCAAGAGTTAAGAGCCAGCGCCGAGGCTCTCTGTGGCATTCCAATGGAGAGTGGACAAAAGTGAGGACACCTCCCTCACCACTGAACTCCTACACACTCTCTCCTACTGTACAGGATATACAGTGCCACATTCAAGATGGAGGTGTACCTGAGGATTGCTAAGTTGTTTTTGGAGGAAGGGGAGCACGTGTCAGCCGAGGCCTACATCAACAGAGCCGGCATGCTCCAGTCAGACGTTGATCAAAACAGTCTCCACGTCATCTACCGAGTGAGCCCCTCCATTTTACTGCTAATCGCCCAATTTCTTTGCCCACCCTGTGTATGTATGTATAGATGTGCTCTGCGAGAATGGCCGATTTTCGACGCAAGTTCACTGACGCTGCTAGAAGATACATCCACCTGTCCTACGATCCTGCCATCCACCCTGACGAGAAACAGTTTCTGCTCAAGTGTGCCATGATATGTGCCATCCTATCACAGGTCTCTCACTCCATATGTTGAATCTTTGATCTCCTTGTATAGTATTGATTTGCCTACACCGTAGGCAGGCCAGCAACGCTCCAAGCAGTTGGCTACTCTGTATAAAGACGAGAGGTGTCAACAGCTGCCAGCCTTTAGCCTCCTGGAGAAGATGTATCTGGACCGCATCATCAGACCTGTGGAAATGGAGGATTTTGCAGCTCTCCTGGCCCCCCATCACAAGGTCAGCAGCCTCTCACGTCATGCATTAGCAGTAGATACAGTTAGACGTGTCCCTTATTTGGAGGTTTACTGTACACTAGTGAATGTATTAGTGTGTGGCAGAACTAATAGAGAGGTGGCGTTTATTTGGAGACATTTTCATATATTATATGCAGGCAACTACAGCGGATGGCTCCAGCATCCTGGACAGAGCAGTGATTGAGCACAACATCCTCTCAGCCAGCAAACTCTACAACAACATTTCATTTGAAGAGTTGGGTCGACTGCTGGCAATTCCTCCCGCCAAGGTCAGCTCTTCGGAAGTTAGTATGGGGCAGAACAAAGTGTATTTTATAGGCAGGTGTCCTAGGTTTTTACATTGTGGTGTTCTTTGCAGGCAGAGAAAGTGGCAGCTCGGATGATATCCGAGGGGAGGATGAGTGGCACCATAGACCAAATTGATGGAATTGTCTACTTCAAGAAGCAGGAGATGATGGTGGTTTGGGATGGCAGGATCCGCAACGTCTGTTTCCTACTGAACTCCATTGTGGACAACATCAGTGCCTGCCACCCACAGTGGCTCGCCGCATCACTAGACGAACAAATGGCTCACTAGATTTAATACAACAAGTATTCTGTTGTCATTATGTTGCCAGTTTTTGATTCATAAAAGACCTAAAAATTGACTGAAAAAAGTTCAAGTTAAAATTTAGCAGAAAGTGAAAGTAGTTCAAAGCTCAGTGTGTTCATACTCAGCACAATAACCTGTCAGGAAACACAAATGTTTGCATAGCACGCAGTTGAAAGACTTGTACACATACCTGTGACCTCATAACACAGCTCATTTTCAACCTCTTTCTGAGTGAGCCCATCTCCATAGAGGTCAATAATGACCTCTTCATGTTCCCCAACAACATAGTGACACTGAGAGGGAGGGGAGAACTACAATATACAGCATCTCCCCAAAGAACACATTGAAAGAAAACACTAATTCTAGTGGTTGAATGTGAAACGGTTTTGGGCTCACAGCGTTTGTAAGTTCCTCTGAGCCCCCACTACTGAGGTTGACGTTGGTAATTGTCAGGGACTCCCCCGGCCGAGTGTTGATCCTGGTGTAACCACGGTGACCGGTAGCAGGGTCGGTGGTGGTCCCGTAGTCTCTCATCTTCTCACAGACAGTCTCCAGGAGCTCTGTCATGTGTGTCTCACTACCTGCATACCTCCTGGACTTGGCCGATTGCTTCCCACTGGAGTCAACTCTGTAGCTCCCAGTCTGGTTTCAGAAAGACCCCCTGAGAATACTGTGAGGGCTTCCACCACCAGCTCTCACTCACCTGGATGGTCTTCTTGGGGTCCACCTTGTCCACCTCGTAGCTGAGTTCGTCCACCACCGCCTTGCAGGCTGCAGAACAAGGGATAAACAGACTAGTACAGCCACTGAAACTCTGTACCTCCGCAGTACGCGGCCAAGTCCCTGCGACCTGAGACCTCCTGTAGTCCTGCCAGACAGCAGAAGACGACTGCACCAATTACCAGAGGAGTCCTCATCTCTCTACACGTAGAACAGACTGGTTTCGCGTAGATGCGCATGCGCACTGTCGTAAGAGCTTTCGCTAAATTAGACAATAACAAATTGAAGGGCCTCCCCTTGACCACTTGACAGACCTGCGACTATCTGCTCCCCAGAGGCGTTGAGAAGGCCAGCCATGTCGCCCAAGTCACGGAAGATTGCTATTCTTGGCTTCAGAGCGGTTGGTAAGCCTTCCTCAGTGACTTGTGGCACGTGAGCGCCGTGACGTGTGAACAACATCTCTTCCCAGGGAAATCTTCTTTGGCTATTCAGTTTGTGGAAGATCAGTTTGTGGACTCCTACGACCCGACCATAGAAAACAGTAAATATCGTAAGTGCATCGCGTGAGAGTCACGAGATTTGCTCCACACAGCATTTGAAAAGGTGGTTCATTACCGAGGTCAGGAATTCCACACTCAACTCATCGACACCGCAGGACAGGTGGAAACTCTGATGACGTCTTCCTTCTTAATCCTCCCACTCTCCTCTCTCTCTATATATAATTAGGATGAATATTTCATGATACCTCAGAGCTACACAGTCGGAGTCCATGGTTACATTCTGGTGTACTCTGTCACCTCAAAGAAGAGGTATGCAGGAATGTCATTGCCACACACGTTCTCCCACTTCCTCCTATATACAGTTTTGAGGTGGTGAAGATCATTCATGAGAAGCTACTGGACCAGATTGGGGGAGGAAACAAAGTCCCTCTCGTTCTCGTCGGTAATAAGACAGACCTCCACCTTCAGAGGTGACCCTGCTCACTCATCACTATGGCAACCAGTTGCCATGGTTTCTGTAACTGGCTGCAGGGTGATACCATCCGAGGCAGGTAGGAAGTTGGCTGGAGAATGGAGTGCTTCGTTTGTAGAGAGCTCAGCCAAACAGAATGAGGTAAGGTTGGGGGAAATAGTTATCACATAGGGACATTGCCTAAAGCAACAAACACTGGGGATAATGTTCCATTTATTCAGGAGGTGGATGTAATATTTCAAAGAGTTTTACAGGAGATTGAGAAACAACATGGGACTCAGGACGATGGAGGGTGTGTCCTTCTGTGACCACACCCACTCACTAATTGTGACCCTTGATGTTCCGTTTTGTCCTTTCCATTCACCATTATGCTCGCTCCGTGTTTTGTATATATCAGCAATTAAGTCACGTTGTTCACTTACAAAATGTACTCTTGCACTCTATTGTCATGTCTATAACATCAATGTGTAATATTGAAAGTTTTTAGGTGTGCACTAATAAAAGTAGAGCAGTGACACAGTACACAATGAGCAATAGCTACTATAATATCTTTACTCTATAATTTGTCACGACACATTGTCCTATCTCTTATTGAATCTGCTACACGAAGTTGACTGATTGAGCCAAAGGGGCGTGGCAGGTGGGCGTGGTTACTGCTTCTCGACGTAGTTGGAGGGCAGCATCCCAAACTGGCCAGTGCGCTGAACTCGGGCCTCCATCCACCCGTCGTCAATGACCTGGACCTCAATCATGACATCCCCTGCACACACAGACAGAGAGATGAAGATTGAAAAATAATCTGTGGCCAGTACTCAACATCGGAATAAAAATCTGCCCCCATGGGGCCACGCACTGTGTACTGCTGACCTTCCATGAACGAGACTTCGTCATCATCAGCAGCAGTGTAGTCATAGATGGCTACATATCTGGGGCCAGAGGTGGGAGGAGGCGGGGCCGGGGCCTTATGCTGCATCGGAGGGGGGAACTGGGGAGCTGCCGAGAGAGAGAAGTCCAGGGGTTAATTCAAAGGGGCAAGGGGGAGTTGAACCCCTGAAATTGAAGTCTTTAGTTATCTTTCTATACAGACAGACACAGCGCTTGCCCTCCTCACTATTCCACCACCCCTTTCATCAATCTCAAATGAAGGGCTAGTGTCTACGGACACCAGGTGCTGTAACTGACCAGCTTGAGGAGGGGGGTGGTAGCTAGCTTGAGGAGGGGGATGGTAGCTAGCTTGTTGAGGTGGAGGTTCGTAGCCCCCGACACGCTCCTGCTCGTGCGGGGCTGTGTGGTAGCCAATGTTGCTGGCCAGCTGCTGCCTCTGCCGAGACTGGGAGCTGGCCAGCGACTCCACCGGAGTGAACTTCTTGAGTGTCTCTTCCCTGTCCTTCCTGTACGTGATCTGGCGAGAAGAAAACAATGTATTTAGAGAGAGTTTTGAGGGAGAAAGCATTTTGCCGTCAGCGAAATTTTATGAGCTGGGAAAAGTGTATTGCAGGACTAGTAATCCACCATGTTTTCTCCCACAGAAGTTTGGTTCAGTAGTTGAGACTCACGTCTGACTGCTGCTCAGTCTGTTTCTTCAGTCTCAGGTTCTCGGGAGTGTCTGAGACTGACGTGAATTTGGTGGTTGGGTAGTGCCTGACAAGGGGAGAGAGGGAGGGAGGTGTGAAATGACACTTAGATTGCCAGTATATAACACTGTTGTCATCAAAGAATAATAGGGAGTTTGCACCAACATTCCAATTAAACCACACATGACCGTATTTGGGCATGCCTCAAACCTAGGTACTTGGCAGGAGTCCCTAGTTACCAAACCTCTGTACAGGCATGGTCACCCACCCTCCCCTTTCCTTCCTCCCCTCTCTTTCTCCCTTCCCCACACTAGAGACTATAACTCACGTGTTGCAGTAAGGGAGCTTGTTGTAGCCTTTGTACGTCTTCATTGTCAGCTTCAGTTTGCACACTTCGCAAGTGAAACAAGGCTTGTGCCAGGTCTGTGTGTGGAGGGTGTGTGTGACACATCATCTCAAAAATGGCCACCCAACACAACAACACAGAATGTGAAATGACTCTATGCTTCATGTCCAGTAATAACTAACACCTGCTGGTCTCAAGTGCTAGATATATACCCACACAAACACGGACACTTTCGCCGCCCCAACTCCCCTGCCCACTTGTTTGTGCACTGACTAGAGTGTAACTAGTCACTTGGCAAAGGGAGTGAGAGGGAGGGCACATCACACGCTGCCGCTTCTACCTACAGACCTTCTCCGCACAGGAGCCTTTGACGCTCTCCTAAAACTAGAAAACAAGCCCAATCAACAAGCCTAGAAAACGGTCGATGCTAAGAAAAGTAGCTGTGACTCCCACAGGCGAGCGGCACTCCGCCCGCGGTTTCATACCTTGTCCAGGCAGGTCAACTTCTCGACCGGATAGACGATCTTCTTGCAGCGAGCACACGGCGGATTCATGGTCAGCGGCAGTCAAACTAGCTCCTTCTCTTGCTTGTCTGTGTCAGTCACAACGAACGCCCAAATAGGTGATATGTGTGCGCGCCAGTGGATCACTTCCAGCGCGCGCGGTCCAGTCTGCGTGAGCGGAGATCCAATCACGCGCGCGGAAGGCCCCGGGGTAATTCACTGTTTTGCTGACTCAGCTAAAGAAGGATGCAGCGCAGTCGACGGGAGAAAGTGCCACAGGTTCTCAAGACCAATTCAGGGCGATTCTTGGACGCTTTCTGACTTGGAGGTAGGAATTTTCCATCTAGACCCTTTATTGAATGACGTCATGATATTTATCCCAGCAGTCTCCCCAGACCCCGCCCTCTCAGCACTCTGGGAACGACCCTATGGTTAGACCCTAATCAGCAATACACACTCACTGACTCTCTCGACAGCCGCAGCTGAAGAAAAGTGAGTCTTCAGAATACTTCAGCAGCATGGGAGAGGGTGAGTGGTGTGCATGGTGTGTGTGTGTGTGTGTGTGTAATGAGGGAGAGTGTGAGTGTGTGACAGGGGAGGAGGAGGTGGGAGGTGAGGAAGTGGAGGTGGGAGCAGAGGAAATGGGGGACGAGAAAGCTCTCACAAAGAGGGATATCCACACTCTCAATGAACAGCGACGTCGTGACATCATCAAGGTATTATAGTGAAATTGTACGAGGTGTCTGAATATTGTGGTCTCCATCTCTGACAGCACGGATATGCCAAACTTGCTGATCTGGTCCCAACTTGTAAACCTGGAGCTTCAGGAGTTAAACTGAGTAGAGCTGTTTTGCTCCAGAAAGGTCTGTGATTACACACTTGTGAGTACTCACTATTGTCAATACCTAAGACTTCCCTAAAACCATAGTTGTAGTTACGCCATCTGTAGATAGTTCACACCATGATTTGTAAAAGCAGGCAATAAAGAAGTACATTATTTGTTACATGATGTGATATAACGTCCCTACACAGCCCTGGACTACATACAGTTCCTACAGAGCCAGTCACGAAGACACGAAGACCAGCTGCTGAAACTGAGAAGAGAAGTGGAGGCCCTTCGCATCATGAAGGAGTGAGTTTTGGACCAAATGTTTCTAGTAGTATATTGGTTTTTTGAAGTCCTACACCTTTATTCAGAGCTATCTTTTCTTGTACTTGAGGTCTCATTGCATTGTCACTGACTCTGTTGTCTGTAGGAACTATGAGCAGATAGCCAGGACCCACTGCAGTATGGTGAGTGGCTCTTCAGTGACGTGTGGATTTACATCTGCCCTGACTCCCCCCAGGCATCTTCCGATGCCCCACAAGTGCCTGACCACATCAAGTTCATGGTGGTGAGTATTTCACTCTGGTTCCCTGGTATATACCCCCATTTCTACATCCCCCATACTCTTGGCAAGTAGTTTTACACCTCTATAATGGACTAAACTTTGTGTTTTGGTGTTTTGGCAGATTGACAAAACCTGTCAAACATGTTTCTCTAGTTCCAGGGAGTGGCTGACCAGTTGTTTCAGTCGTTCAACTCCTCAATCAGTGTGACAAGTTTCGACACCCTCTCATCCTGCATCATCAGCTGGTTGGAGGAGTACTGCAAGCCGCAGGTCGGGATTTGACCTCATGTTATGTAACCTATTCTCCTCCTCTCTCATTTTTACCCTCAGACACTTCGCGAGCTGGTCATCACCAACCTAAAGAGAACTAATTCACGTCCACTGCCACCATAGATGCCCAGTATAGTATATAGAGTTTGACATTGTACTGCATCCATAGATGTCTGCCAAACGTTTTATTCTCGGCGCGCATGCGCAGCGAGGGTACTGTAGTTGGGTTTGTCTGTCTGTCTGTGTGTCTGTTACTCTCAATCTCACTTCTCGGGTGTCTGTTCGTACCAGAAACGATACCATCTACCCAACGGGCGACGAGGGTCAGAAAATATGGCTAATGCCATTTTATCGCTGGCGGATAATGCGCATGCGCTTATATTATTTAGCACAGGCTAGGCACCTCGACCGGGTCCGCTTGCTCTGTATCTTGAAGGCA